CATATGCTGTATTCTCCAAGCAATAAAATTCTGATGTGTTTTATAAAAAATAAATAAATAAATTTCAATACAAAAATAAGAAAAAGGAACCCATTCATTCTACATATGTTTCTTGAGTGGAAAATTGGGTTCTACAAAAAGAAAATGAAAAAAAATATAGACATTTCCATGCCAGTACTCAATGTATGTTATTGCTGAAAATTTTATAGTACTTTTGATAGTAAAAAGAAGAAATTCTGTAGCAGTGCATCAGCAGTGTAGTAGGATGGAGTTGTACTTCACTTATATTTTGTTCTCAAGGTTTTTTGTTTTTATCAGATTTTCGTCAAAATATAAAATGACTTGGTTATAAAAAAGAAGGTGTTGATAAATACAAAGACTCTCTTTGACACTTGAAAGGACACTTGTTTAGAACTGCAGAGTGATAATATATTCTAGCAAGTTTTCAATGGCTTTGTTGGTTTAGATGAACAGTATATATGTAAATGTTCTAGACTTTTTCTGAATTTTCTTGGTGTTTCCAATAGTAGGAATCTTCAATTATATGTATGTAATAGAAGGGACATGCTTTATAGTAATCAATGTGATATTACTTACAGTAGCCAGTCATTTAGGAGGACTTTATTTCCATGATTCACCAGCAATGGACTGACTAACAAGCAATGGTTATTGAGTACATGGCATGTCAATTCTAGGCATCACTGATATTTCTGGATAGTAAAGAGTATATTGGTATTAGAAGTTGGTTAGTACTTGGCAATGGTTTTATTTTGTGTAGAGCACTTAATTAAAGACAAAACTTATTCTTCTTGAGTCTATAATCACAGTGACTTCAGAGGAGTACAAAGAAAATTTTGAGTCTAAAGTAAACATATTTAAGCAGTCCAAGTCTCTATTTTCTTAGAAAACAAACATTTTGTCTGTCAGGAGACATTTAACATGTTCAGAAATCATATTCTATTTCTCTCTAGATGTATTTTCCAGCCTCCTGAAACTGTTTGCTAGTTTCCCTCTCCTAATTCTTCCTGCAACCTGCCTCTGATGAGTCATTCCCAATTGACCACTTTATATTCTTGAAGGAAAAAGCCCACTGAAAATTAATCTTTTACCCTCTGCCTTAGTCAGTGTTCTATTACTTTGAAAAGATGCTGTGACCATTGCAACTCTTATAAAGAAAAGCATTCAATTATATGAGCCTGTGGGGACCATTTTTATTCAAACCAACACATTCCACTCCCTGGCCCTCATAAGCTTGTAGCCATATCATAATGCAAAATGTATTCATTTCAACTTCAATAATCCCCATAGTCTGTAGTGGTCCCAACACTATTTAAATATTCAAAGTTAAAAAATCTCTTCTGAGACTCAAGGAAATCTCTTAACTGTAACACCCTGTGAAATCAAAATATAAAAGCAGATCACATACTTCTAACATACAATGGCATATAATACACATTATGATTCCAAAAGGAGGAAAGGGGGACATAGTGAGGAGATAATGGACCAAAGCAAGACAAAAAAATCATAAGGGAAAATTCCAAACACTGCCTCTCCATGTCTGATGTCAAAATACTCTTCAGATCTCCAACTGCTTTCAGCTTTGTTGACAAAATACTTTCCTTTCTTGGACTGGTTTCATACCCTTTTAGCAGCTCTCCTCAGCAGAAATCACATAACTCTGGCACCTCCAGCATCTTGGGGTCTTCAGACAATCTGGGCTTCACCTTAACAGCTTCATACAATGACCTTTCTGGACTTCCATGCAGAGATACCCCTGACATGCCTGCCCTCAAGGGCTTTCCTTAGTCATGGAGAGATATTCTGTAACCCCTTTCTTGTATCCTTGACTCTAAAGCCAGAATCATGTGCCAATGCTGAGGTTTTTTTTCTTTTTCTTTTTTTTTTTAACCAAATTTCTGTTTTCATCGTTTCCTTAACTGCCTAAGCTATTCTCTAATTCCTTTTCAAAACTTGGAAGCTTAGCTGGGTTAGGTCATGCCCCTAGATCACCACTCCCTTTATTTATTAGAAACAGGCTTTTCTTTAAACTTTTTAATCTCCTTGAGCACTGGCCTTACCTTCGTTATACTTTGTGGTACTCCTTTTCTCCTCAAACTCTACATTTTATATTTTTCCTTTTTCAACTTGCTCCTTTTCATTATATATCTGCCTAGTGGTGGCCATTAGTAACCAAGCAAAACAATCAATACCAGGTTGTCTTGAAATCTCCTCTTCCAATTAATCAAAAACTCTTCAATTTAGCCTCGGATAGATTTTTTGGACATGTGCAGAAAACAGCCACATTCTTCACCAAATACCACAAGAACAGTCTCTTGTCCACTCATTAATGTTCTTTTCCTCTGAAGCCTCTTGAGCCAAGTGTTCACAATCTACATTGTTCTCAGTACCACTGTCCTCCATGCTTCTACTAGTTTGGTTCATTAAGCCATGCTAAAGCATTTAACTGTTTTCTTAATCCAAAGTCCCCAAGTCCACATTGTTCCAACAAGCATCATGATCAGGCCTTTCACGATACCCCACTCCCTGGTACCAACTTCTGTCTTTGAGTTCTATTGCTGTAAAGAGACACCATGAGCATCACAACTTCTATAAAGGGAAGCATTTAACTGAGGGCTAGCTCACAATTTGAGAGATTTAATCCATTGTCATTATTATGGGAAGCATGGTGGCATGCAGGTAGACATGGTGGTGGAGAAATAGCTTCACAGTTCTACATCTGGATCCTCAGGCAGCAGAAAGAGAAAAACACTAGGCCTGACATGGGCTTTTCAAACAAATAGCGCTACTCCCTAAGCATTCAAACATATCAGTCTGTGGGAGCCATTCTTATCCTAGCACCTGTGTACCTTGTACCTGTGTTTCCTTCTTGCTGCTTGTCAAAAACCATTTCCTCTACATCTGCTTTGTAGCTGCTTTTCCCTCTAATATGCAATGCAGTAGCCTTAGAGATTTATATAGCTCTCTTAGAACTTCTACATTTTACTTTCTTTCTTTCTTAGAGCAAAAGTCTATTTATTCTCTTTCACTTCTTATGTACCCTGCACGTGTTTATGTCTCTTCCTTGCTGTTTATAGTCCAAACATTCTTATGACATGGTTTCAGTCTGGCATTTTTCTATCAACCTAGAAACCCCTATGTGTTTTAGGTAAAAGTTCAGGGTGTCTGTTGTGACCAACAATCTTTTTTTATCCTGGTCATGTCATAGATTATTTGTCATCATATGGATTTGTTGTATTTGGGTAACATGTTGTAAATGTGGTAAACTGCATGGAGAAACTTGATGGTAATCATGGCTCCTGAAGCTATATGGGCCATATGCAGGGTCATTTTATTTCATTCATTCATATGGGAAAAGTCATAGCTAAATTATTTGACCTTTTTGCAGTGGATTCTATTATGGTCATATTACATGGAAAATTGAATTCTTGTCTATGAATGATAAGTGTGAGATATAAAAACTATCTGTTGGGTAGATTCTGTAGTGCCTAAAGGATACACATCATTAAGCTTTATATTGACTAGAAAAGCCTGCATTTGACTAGGAATTGGTCTAGAAGTATTAAAATTAGGTTGGCTATAAAAACAACCCAAAACATAACTTTATGTTTTGTATTTTCTACTGTCCTAGAGAATCCGAGCATGTCATAGCCTGTCCATTTGTGTGTGTGTGTGTGTGTGTGTGTGTGTGTATGTGTGTGATTTTAAAAAGAAAAAATGTGTATATGAGGCTATGGAGAAACTTGTCAAAAGGTTGGATTTTAAAATAATATTCTAGGACATGGGGTTTGCTTTTATTTTGCTAACACCATTTTCTCTTATAAGTGCTAAAACTCACAAAATGAGAATAGGCACAGTATTTTCTTCCGGTTGTAGAAGAAAGTTTAAGCACCTGTAGTTACGATGTATATGCTCTGTGTTACAGAAAGAAGAAAGAACTTTAAAGGTATTTTGCCCTAGGACAAGGGCATATGCAAGGCCCTGGGTTCCATCCCCAGGACTGGCAGGGAAAAAGGCAACAAAAGATGTTTACCTATAGGTGGGCAGATGGTATATTTGCCCTTTTCCCAAATGTCTTATGTTTCTAACTCTCTAGCATCTTTAACCTTTAAACATTTAAAGATTTTTCCTGTTAAATATTCACTCAATGTGAAAAACCAAAACAACCACTGAGTATCTAGTCCAAACATGCAAACTGTGTCATCCAAAACAACATAGAGAAACATGTCATTTCTTTTTCCCCTCCCACCTAGATGCTGTATTATGTAGAGGATATCCCAGCTACCCTGAGATTCTTCCATGGTCTCTTAGCTGCCAATGCTAAGATTCTCATTATTCTTGTGTCAGGTAAGCTATTTCAACCAGCTGGATCTTAAAATAGTAACTGTGAATATATACATGGATTCATGTGTTTATATAAAGTTAATATATTTTGTTATTGTTATGAAATTCATTTTAAATTAATTTTTTAAACTAGAACAATGCTCAATTTAGGGAACCTAGTGGAATCAAAATCTCTTCGCTTCCCTCTATTCAGAAAAATGCCCTTACAAGGTTTAGAGAATGGCTCAATGGTTAAGAGCACATTGCTTTTGTAAAGGATTGCAATTTGGTTTCTAGCACCTACTTTGGGCATGTGCACATACATACACTCACTCACACAATTCTCTCTCTCTCTCTCTCTCTCTCTCTCTCTCGCTCTCTCTCTCTCTCTCTCTCTCTCTCTCTCGCTCTCTCTCTCTCTCTCTCTCTCTCTCTCTCTCTCTCTCTCTAATAGAACCTTACAAAAAAGAAAAAAGAAAAATTCTTTGTCTTGTACATACGCATCTGCTCTGGTTACTTTTCTGCTGCTGTGGTAAAACCCTGACCCAAACAAAGTTGGGGAGGAAAAGGAGTTATTTGGCTCACAGTTTACAGTCCATCATTGAGGGAAGTCAAATCAAGAACTCAAAGCAGGAACCTGGAGGTAGGAACTGAAGCAGAGATGATGGTGGAGCACTGCTTACTGCCTTCTTCCAGACAAACCTGCCTACTGATGGCACTATCCAAACTGGGCTCTCCTACAAAACTCACAATTTAACAAAATGTGCCCTTCAGACATGCCCACAGGCTCATCTGATGGAAGAAATTCCTCAATTGGGAATCCCCCTTCCAACGTGTGTCTCTATTTGTGTCAAGTTATCAAAAACCAAGCAGCACCACATCTGTTTTATAGAACAGAAAGTTCAAGAGATAGTATTTTTAACATGAGAACCAACAGGTACATTTATTATGTTTACCTATTTTATGTCACTTGAATGTCTTTCCTCCATTTTTGATACTTACTAATAAGTAAATAAAATTTTAAATATTCTGGATGCCATTAATTTGCATTTCTAAAACCATCGGAAGCATGGTTCATTATAGCTTTTTTTTTTTTTTACATATACTTATAAAATGATTCAATTGTTTTACTTTGTGCTATAGTTTTATTTTTCAGAGAGGACAATTAATTAGTTTGTTGCTTCCAGGGTCATGTCACATAGGTAAAAGTCAGAAAATCAAACATTGGTGCTAAGATCATTGATAAGATTTTACTGTGTAGTATAAGTTGGATTCAAAAATACCAGAGTGTTATGGGCACCTGCCACTATGCCCTGTCTCTGTAGTAGTTCTTCCATGGATGTCTTGGATTGTCTAGTTGTTGCTAGATGACTCATTTCTGAAAACACCACAGTCCTATCACCATCACCAGACAACAGCTCCAAACACTGAAACTGTATGCCGTAACGTTTGTCTTCACATATAAGGAAGACTTTTTAAACTAGCAGGTGCAATTGTTGCTTATACTCCCAGGCTTTACTTCATGTGAGGGTTTAGAACCAAGAACTCTTGCATACAACTGACTGCCCAAGCGAACATTCTGATGTACTATTTTTTACCTCTAGTTAGTTAAAATTACTCATTTATTAGGGAAAGATCTGGTTTTCCATTTTGAAGGGATTATGTAAATTGAATGGTTTCTGCTAACCTATGTCTAAATTAGGACACTTGGTAAAAAGTAGTTTGTATTACAAACGTAAGCTTGGTTTCCAATGTTGTGGGGAATCTACTTTTGTGATCTGCATTGATAAAACAGAAACACTGTTCTGAACAGAAATCTATCCTCAATTGACAAACTTCATATTAGTAACAGTTCTACTAGTGGATCTGACATTTTGAGCAGTTAAATATTTGAATGCTAGGTATTTGCCAATAAGAAAAAAAGCATTATATGCTTTTAAATATTGTAAAAGTGTATTCTTTGTGCATTTTAAAATTTACCAAGCACCTTTGTAGAGACTGTAGTTTGCTGGCTGCAGCATAGAGTTACTGTAACCCAAGAAATCTGAAGACAAAACAGGCCCAGGGAAAGGTATCAAGACACTTGGGGTATGAATACTAGTGTACTTCCTACATGTATGGACTTTGCTTCTAAACCTTAGTTAACTTTAGGCTATTTGTGGACAGCTGGACCCATGTTATTTGTATGTACCCATACATGGGATCCAGATGAGCTCTGTATGCTTTTATATGGAACCAAAAAGACAATAAGAGACAGGTAACTTTCTAAGAAGAATTTTGAGCCAGAAATTATTCAGTAAGTGCCCTTCATATGGTAGAAATAGCTTACACTGTGGTTTTTTAGATAGTGTTTCTCTGTGTAGTTTTGTAGACCAGGCAGGCATCAAACTCACAGAGATCCACCTGGCTCTGCCTCCCAAGTGCTGGGATTAAAGGCGTGTGTCACCACTGCCTGGCTAGTTTTCAGTTTTTTAACGTAGTTCAAACCTCTATCTACTGAAGAATAAGAAGAGGTTGCTGTCTGGAAGAGGTAAGCATTTTTAATCAATATATTTCCTAGGAATGAGAATGAACATCTAAGAGCATTCAGTTCATTAAACCGGAACTCATATGAGATCTTCCTGTTATCATAGTCATTAGTTCTTGGAAGATGGTTTTACTACAGAGAAGAAATGTTATATTAATTTTTTTTTAAAGGAACCACCGAGTAAAACAAGAAAAATGTTTCAGATATTTGATTATATTTGTAAGGAATATTAAATAGATTAAATATAAAATAAAATATATATTTTTAAAAAGTCACCTTTTCTAATAGTTTGCTTTGCAGTTCAAGAAGATATTCAACCTGAGGAAAGAAATGGTACTGCCAAATATGTTGGTCGTTTTTCATCAGTTTAGTTAACTAGACTTTTCCTGGAATCCCCAGCCATACTCTCACACATAACAATTAAAAACACAGAGTCAATGGCCATAGTTTTTATTCCAAGCATCTTGAGTGCCCCCCTCCCCATCCTGCCCTGGGGCTTTCCTGCTGTTTCACTTTAGAGGCTCTTATGAACTCAGGAGAGTGGAGATGGGTGCTTTTGCCTATCAATCTATTATTAAACCTTTGTGAAGTCTGGGGTGCACAGAAAATGCTCAATGAGTCTTTGGATTCAACTAAATAGTTGTTAATTTCTGTTTCATGATACCAGAACTACAAGGTTCTAAAAGTCCACCCAAAAGAGGAGAATATGATTCATCTAAGAATGACTGACTACATATAGAACACAGCAACTGTGTGTATTTGCACATATGTTTACATGGAAATAAAAGGCTCAGTGAAATATAAACATACATTCTCATGGGCATCTATGCTGGATATGGGACAGTCAGACAAAACCATGTAGGATAAACAAATAAAACTAATTAGGACAAGAACGAGGATGGAATCAGAATAAAATCAGGTCATTTAGTGGTCAGTGTACTGTAAGTGATCTTATGTTTTCTTCTGTGTTGCTATGCTTCTGTTATGGAGTAAGTCCAACTCAGTAAATATTCACTTAGTGGTAACTAGCAGAATTCTTTGATTATTGATATGAAAAATGAAATGAAAAGGAACAGAAGTAAGCACAAAATACTTGAATTTTGTTTTAAAGGAGAGTGTTGTGTACTGAAATATTTCACTGATGTATTTGCTCTTCTCCCCCCGATCATTCAACTCCAGTTTTTTTGGCTTCTGGGTTAGTTCTTAACTGTACCAGCCTTGCATTGGCTTCAAATCCTTTGTAGTTGTTCTCTCCATCTGGAATAACCTTCTGTGTGCTGCTTACATGGCTGCTGTCAGACTGTGCTCACCTGTCACCATATTAAACAGACTCTGTGATCACCATAGGTAATAAAACAACAGTGCTTAAATGTCTCTGGCCATCCTTATCCCTTATTCTGATTGTTTGCTATTACACATTACGTCATGTGATACACGTATAATTACACATTACATCATATAATTCACATACAATTACACATTACATCATATAATACACCTTGGATTAAGCTCTACAAAGGATATGACTATTATTTTGTTAATTGTTCTATTGTAAATGTCTGGTATAGTGACTAGGAGAAGCTAAATGAAAGACAAAATAAAGAAAACATGAACTTTCTTCTTTTGCATAGGAACTAGTGGCTGGGACAAGCTATGGAAAAAGTATGGATCCCGCCTACCCAGGGATGACCTCTGCCAGTATGTCACTTCCTCTGATCTCACTCAGATACTGGATGACCTGGGGATTAAGTATGAGTGTTATGACCTTTTGTCCACCATGGACATAACAGACTGCTTTATTGATGGCAATGAAAATGGAGACCTGCTTTGGGATTTTTTGACAGAAACCTGCAACTTTAACAAAACAGCACCGCCAGATCTTAGGGCAGAAATTATGAAAGACCTTCAAGAGCCTGAATTTAGTGTTAAGAAAGAGGGGAAGGTACTTTTTAACAATAATCTGAGTTTTATAGTGGTTGAAGCATAACTATAAGTCACAAGTGTTCAGTCAGAATTTATATTTTGAACGATTGTTTATTACATATTGATTTACATATCAAACACATATTTACATACTAAAGTTAAAAATTAATCTTATAATAAGGATATATTCTCATTTCTTATAAATGAAATCTACAAATTTCCAAGACATTCTTGGGCTACCACCAGAATCATGTGGGCTACTCCCAGTTATATCTTGTCCAGTTAGACTAAACATTACCTAACTGGAAACATATGGCTTGAGTTTCATTGACTTATTGATAATAAAATCCTTTCCATTTTTCTCATTGTACTGGAAATTCTTGGACTAGTAAGAAAATATGTGCCATCTGTATTTTGAATAACAGTAAAGTGACTTTTGTTGATCCTATCATCACAAAAAGTAGATATAGTTCTACTTGTAAAGAAGTGTTTATCTCTCTCTACTTTTCCTGTAATAGTTTCTATCATACTTTTTTATTAATATCATCATAAAATTACAGGCTGGTGGGATGGTTGTTCCAGAGGACCTGGGTTCAGTTTTCAGCATGCATGTCCTATACCTCACAACCAACTGTGATGCCCGCTCTAGAGAATCTGATGCCATATTCTGGTCTCTGTAGGCATCAATACTTATGTGAGAATATGCCTCCCACACACATAAACGTAAAATAAATCTTTAAAAAATGATTACAAAACTGGCTCTATCATCTGATATTTCTACTTTATCTAAGATATAATTATCTTTTCGGTTTTTGATATACTGAAACTTATATTTTGTACAAATCAATTTAGTTCAGTTTTTCCTTTTTTAAATTTTAGTTTCTGAAACATTTTTAAGGATCTTCTAAGTTTAAAATACTAATATTTTTATAATAGGTTCATAACTTCTTTCCAAAGTTACCTTTGGATAGTAGGGTTTCAGAGAGTTTGGGGAGACTTATTTGATATTCTTGCTTTATTTTAAATGACCCTCTGTAATTCTTACAAGAATATATATTTTAAGTTAATAAGTAATAATTCATAAATAATTTCTATATTAAGGAAATGATACTTCCAATCAAAATGGGATAAAAAAAGAATTTTAATAGCTCATGGAACTGTGCCTTACAGTGCAGAAGCCTTAATTCACGGATGGTGTTTTGTTATTCTCATGATAGCATTATCACTTTATGTTGTAGGATAGTCAAATTTGAAGAGTTTGTGCCCCTTCTTAACCACAGCTCATCTCTGTAGCTTAGAATCTGTTTACATTAACAATCAAGCTTTGTTTATAATCAGTAAAACTGACATACATTGACGTATTTTCTTCGACAGCTTCATCAATTTTCTCATTATAAAATACAATAAATAAATGATGTCAGATTCCTGAATAAGACCACTGAATGGTCAGAATAAATTGGTGATTCGTGAATATTGATGGGGATAGGGCAACCTCAACAGGAAGGATCCAAGACTCTAGAGCAGTTGCAGCCTTTTGTGGAAGAAGAATGGACGTGTTATTTAATGATGAAAATAGAAAAGCTTACTGATGGTTATTTACAAATGTGGCCCTTTTCTCATCCCTGTAGGCCTTTTCTAGAAAATGCAAGGACAAATAAATTCTCATCTACTTTAGTTTAATGTAGTGGAAATACACAATGAAATAGCAAAGAAAGGTCATATTGCCCTGACTATACCTCTCCCTTTGGGAGTCACATTTGCCAGTAAATAAATGGCTTTTCACTCATCTTTGCAAGTGTTTTGCAACATTGAAAGGGCCCTCCTTCCCTGCTGAGAACAGGTCCTGATATAAAATGTTTGATTCCTCTGGAGGACTGGCCTTTTGATGTGTTTTACAAATCAAAGGTTGTACTGGTGAAGACACCATGGCCTGCACTGGATGTAATGTTTCTTCACAGGCACAAACCTGCTTTTGGTCAGCTGGCTAGAGGACTCAAGGGACTCAATATACTCTTAATTTGCTTAATGAAGCATGGTGAGGGGCTGGAGAGATTGCTCAGTGGTTAAGAGCACTGGGTGCTCTTCCAGAGGACCAGGTTCAGTTCCTAGCACCCACATGGCAGCTCACAACTGTTTGTATTTCCGGTTCCAGGGGATCTGACTCCCTTACATGGACACACACAGGCCAAACACCAATGCACATAGAATAAAAAATTAAAAGCATGGTGATTTGTAATTTTCATACAGTCTTCTTTGTTTCCTTTTTTCTTTCTTTTTTTTTTTTGGTCTTTATGTTTATAAGACAGACTCTCATTTTATAGACCTGACTGTCTTTAACTGTGTAAACTAGGCTGAACTCCACCTCACATCAAGCCTATTGTATTAGCCTTCTGAGTGCTGAGATTACAAGGGTAAACCACCATGCCTGGCTTACTTCTGTTTGTTTTAAACAGGAAACTATCTCCACACATGCCTAAAATTTAGAGATAGTGTTACAGGTAGCCTACGAGAGATGACCACTTAGACAAAGTTTATAACCAGTTGAAAGTCTTTATTCCAGCAGGCTGAGACCACACACTGGTATTTGGGTGACCCAGGTGTGGCTCCAAGTGTCCTGAGTATAGGATTTCTAAAGGCAAAAGGTAGTGGATCAGTATTTTTCTCTGGTGTAGGAAGGGACTTTGAGAGCCCATCCCACATGAAGGGATGATCTCTCGGCCAGGAACACAAGGGAGGGCCCAGGCCTGGCCCAGGTTGATGTGGTGGACTTTGGAGAGCCCCCATGGAGGGCCCTATCCTCCCTGGGGAGCAGAAGGGGGCCAGTGGGGGGTTGGAGGAGGAGCGGAGGGAGAGGGAGAAGGGATTGACATGTGAAGCAAGCTTGTTCCTAATTTGAACTAATAAAAAATGAATATAAAAAGCATAAAAAAATAAAGCATAAAAAAACACATCCTAACACCTCAATCAGCAGCTACCCAGAGTTGGAAGGTTGGGCTTTGCAGAAGCAAGAAGTGTAATGCAGCATCTAAATTAAGTCTTTAGCTGTTGGGGGTATCTGCACAAACAGGCTTAAGACAAAGGAGCTAGGACATCCTGACCTTGGGTTCCTAGAATAGAGTTGGGAAATTTTCTATAGGGTTCTCCTCAAGGAGATAAAATTCTAGTTAAATCTGAAGTGGCCTCAGCAAGAATACAAGATGGAGCAACCTTTGCATTGTCTTGCCTAGTCATAATAGTTTCAGTGCATGCAGCTATCGACTTCTTCCTATAATACCTGATACTACAAAGGATATGGGGTAGTCATATATTGACCTTTTAAGTTTGCTTTTATGATTAAGATTAAAAAACAACACAAGATAAAATTGGAGTGCAATTTTGTGTATCATGATTCAGTGTAGCATGGTGCCTTGCATATGGTAGATGATAGGCAGACAGAATCTAAAACTATGCAGAACCTGTGAAACCCAAAGCTGTATTTTAAGTTTTAACTACTCTGCCTAAGAAATCCATGAAACAAAAATGTCTCTAACCTGTAAGCTCCTTGCCCAAGGACCAATAATTCCTGAAATTCTGGAGGTTATTGTTTGTGGGAGATAACAAGCCACATATTTCACTCCCCTAAACAAATTTATTGGCTAACTACACCAGATGTGCTTAATCACATCTGGGGGTGGGGGTGGGGTCACAGGCAGGAAATACATCAGGATGTGTACACTTGTCCCTAATTGGACATGATAGGAAATTTAGTGAATTGTAAGGTTAGCCTTTTTAAGTCCCTGAAAACTGAAATGACTAGGAACCATTTCCCTGGGAACCCATTTATGATCTGGCCAAAACCCATCCACCTGGCCAGTATTTAATTAAAGCTTGATTCAAATTTGGCTTTAAATTGTGGTAGTGGCCTTCTTCTTGACCAGTGGGATTAACCATTCAAATGTACAATGTTTTTCAATTATTTATTTAATGAAAGAACTTATTGCATCATATTTTGTCATTTAAACAATTTCTATATATATAGTTCTGTTAGAAGAGCACATGCCTTGTATAAGTATGGATTAATCACCAGTATCACAAATAAACAAAATATAATAAAACAAAAGCAATATAAAATATAATAAAAAACAAAAAATAAAAGTGTATTTATATATGTTTACCTCATCAGAATGGTTTCTAAGAAAAATAAAGACTACTTTTTAAAACACAACTTTTACATCATTTTTACTGATTCCTTGGGAATTTCACATCATGCACCCTAATCCCACTTATTTTTCAGTCCCTCTGTATTTGCCCTCTACCCTTGTAGTGTCCTCCTCAAAGGAAAACTTAAAAAGAAATAATAAAGATATTGAAGAGCTATGGAGAGAGTGGACAAGCTTGTCTTGTTCCTGACTTTAGAGGAATCACATTGAGTTTCTCTCCATTTAGTTTGATTTTGGCTGTTGGTTTGCTATATATTGCTTTTATTATGTTTAGGTATGTACCTGTTATCCCTGATCTCTCCAAGACCTTTATCATGAAGGGGTGTTGGATTTTGTCAAAGGCTTTGTCAGCATCCAGTAAGATGATCATGTGGTTTTTCTTTTTCAGTTTGTTTATGTGGTGGATTACATTGTTGGATTTTTATGTGTTGAACCATCCTTGCATCCCTGGAATGAAGCCTACTTGATCATGGTGGATGATTTTTCTGATGTGTTCTTGGATTCCATTTGCCAGTATTTTATTGAGTACTTTTGTACCTATATTCATGAGGGATATTGGTCTGTAGTTCTCTTTCTGAGTTGTGTCTTGGGTACCAATGTAATTGTAGCCTAATAAAAAGAGTTTGGCAATGATCCTCCTGCTTCTATTGTGTGGAACAATTTGAGGAGCATTGGTATTAGCTCTTCTTTTAATTTCTGGTAGAATTCTGCCTTGAAGCTATCTGGCCCCGGGGGGGTTTTTTTAGTTGGGAGACTTTTGATGACTGCTTGTTTTCATTGGAGGTTATGGGTCTATTTAAATTGCTTATCTGTTCTTGATTTAATTTTGGTAAGTAGTATCTATCCAGAAAATTGTCCATTTCCTTTAAGTTTTTCAATTTTGTGCAGTACAGATTTTCAAAGTGTGACCTGATGATTCTCTGGATTTCCTCAGTGTCCATTGTTATGTCCCCCTTTTCATTTCTGATTTTGTTAATTTGCATGTTCTCTCTCTGCCTTCTGGTTAAGTTGGATAAGGCGTGTCTCTCTTGTTGATTTTCTCAAAGAACCAACTCTGTTTCATTGATTCTTGTATTGTTTTGTTTGTTTGTTTGTTTCTACTTCATTGATTTCAGCCCTCAGTTTGGTTATTTCCTGGTGTCTACTCTTCCTGGGTGAGTTTGCTTCTTTTTTTTTCTAGAGCTTTCATGTATGCTGTTAATTTTCTAGTGTGGCTATTCTCTAGTTTTTTCATGTGGGCACTTAGTGCTATGAACTTTCGTCTTAGTACTGCTTTCAGAGTGTCCCATAGGTTTGGGTATGTGGTGCCTTCATTTTCATTTAACTGTAGGAAGTCTTTGATTTCTTTCTTTGTTTCTTCCTTCACTAAGGAGTGATGAAGTTGAGCATTGTTCAATTTTCATGAGTTTTTAGGGTTTCTGCAATTTGTGTTGTTGATGAATTCTAATTTTAAGCCATGCTGCTCTAATAAGAAACAGGCAGGTTATTCCTGGATCTGTTGATGTTTGCTTTGTTGCTGAGTATGTGGTCAATTTTAGAGAAGGTTTTATGTG